TCAAGTCCTCTATGGGGCTCCATGCTTAGTGTGGAGTCTGCTTAAGACTCTCTCTCTCTTTCCCCCACCGTCCCTCCCCCCTGCACTCTCACTCCCTCCCAAATAAATGAATTAATCTTTAAAAAAAAAAAAAAGGGAAGAAAATCGAAGAGAAGAATATTTTTACAGGAGGAAAAGCTTGTCCAAAGTCCAAAGCAAACTTGGTATATTCAAGAATGTAGTATATTTGTATGATGTATGTAAATCAGAAACACCCCAACTATAGTTATATTTGAAATTATCTTATATCAAGGATCTTATGCGAAGATACTTTTAAGGAATTCACTTCTATATTATCAAGTTTAAAGCATGGTGCCCATCATACTTCATCACTCTCAACTGCCAACTTTATTAAGTGCCTTAGGAAAGAAAAGCAGCCATTATCATATTCAATTTTCTAAAAATCAGACCCTCTTCAATTAAAAAAAATTCTATTAGAGAATAAAGCAAAACTACATAAAGTCTTAATACAAAAATTTGAGGGGCACCTGGGTGGCTCAGTTGGTTAAGTGTCTGCCTTCGGCTCAGGTCATGATCCCAAGGTCCTGGGATCAAGCCCCACATTGGGCTCCCTGCTCAGTGGGTAGCCTGCTTCTCTCTTTCCCTCTGCCTGCCACTCCCCATGCTTGTGTATTCTTTCTCTCTTTCTCTCTCTGTCAAATAAATAAATAAAATCTTTAAAAAATATACAAAAATTTGAAAGCAATGTGTGAGTAAGAATAAGATATATCTCCAGAGAGTATAAGGCTAAATTACCAAATAAAATTATCTACATAAACTTTTATTTCTATATTATCTATAAACTAAAGTTTCTGTCTGGTTGAGGGAAAAATAACTAGATGGATTTTCACTAAATTTTCAGGATACAGTTGTCATATTTCTGTCTTAAGAAACAGTCTATATGTTACACACAACATTCATTTGCAGGGCACACAAAAAAGGTAGAGACTAACTTTCCAGATCAGCTAAAACTAAAAGTACAACAAAAGGTCCATGAAATCCGAAAGGGCTGGTAATAGTGAGGGATAGGCCATTTTGTAAAACAATGTTATAAATGGACAGGAAGAAATTCATGATTTCAAATTTGAATTACAAATTATTCAACTCAAAGGCAATCAATCCAAATTCCATGCACTGGTTTGCAATAACATTAATTCTCATATACACAAGAGAATATAGTGTGTCCTAGAATGAGTAGTAATAGGGATCTATTTATATAATAATAGTTAATGATTCTCCCAAACTTTCCAGTGGAGGCTAACTACCATACAACAGAGGTTCTGAACTAAAAAGAGGAAAAAAAGATTGTTTTAATTTAGGTTTTCCCAGAAGCAAATCCTGAGACAAACATTCACATGCAATTGCTTATATAGGAGAAAAAAATGGTAGGGAAAGAAGGAAGTGAGCCTGGTAAGGAAAGGCAAGCATAAAGGGTTGGTTATTATTAATCATGTATCCACTGTGGATTAAAACCAACCAACAAACAAACAAACAAAAAAACCACTAATTCCACTCAGGATATCTGGCAACCAGTCTATAGCAGTCTAGCCAGTGTGTGAAAGACACAGTTATTTTATATATTCATTCATGTCAGCCTTTAGCTAGGGCTACTTCCAGGAAGTATTAATCATCTGGCATTGCAGAGCAGAAAGACAAAGTGGACCCTGGTGACAAGAAAGAGCCCTCAGACAAAGGAATACAGTGGCTGGCAATTGGGATAAGAGCCAGCATACACTGAAGTGGCAAGAGCAAGGGGATACCAATGGTAAAGTAACAATTGTGTGGACAGAAATAATCTAGAAGACCCAATAAGAGAGGGACTTGAGTTGAACTTTGAGAAATGGATTGGATTTGGTTAAGGGAAAGCATTTAAGTTAGGAAAAGTGGCATGAGCAAAAGGTCTGAGGTAAGATATCATAAGAGGTATCCTAGGTCAGTTATAAGCCAGTTTGCCTAGATCATGGATATAATTAGATAGGAGATTCTTGGGAAAATATGGCAAAAAATATATGTTGGGTCCATATTAAGAAAGGTAGAAATGTTGGCTAAACAGTTTAAACTTTTTCTTCTAGGTATTAGGGAACCTTTAAGTTTCCAAGCAGGAAATTAATAAAATGAAAACATTACTTTATGGCATTAATGTCCACGTTGGCACCACTCTTGTCTTTGGAATGTAAACTTCTATTGGATAGGATCTGTGTCTGTTCAATTTCCCTAGGGGAGGATTACATGCAGAGAACCATTCAGTAACCTATTAGCAATGAGCACCCCAAATACAAAGAACTGTGGTATCTAAATACCATTTCTAATGTTCCTTGAAAAAAATCCAGATTCCAGATCTGTGCAGAATATTTACAAGATGACATTAAAACATTTTGTTATTCCAGAAAGGAAGCTGTCAAATACTACAGTAGCCCGGTCAAAAGAACAAAGGAGCCCACTTAGGGTTCCAACTAGCCAAAGAAACAATTTGAACATCAAAATAATAAAAATTACAGAAATATGGGTTTTTTTTAGATTTTATTTGTTTATTTTACAGACAGAGATCACAAGTAGGCAGTGAGGCAGGCAGAGAGAGAAATATGTTTTAAATAATATCTTCAATGACTAGAAATATATCAAAAATTTAACATCTATGAGTTCATAAAAATATTTAAAAACTTGAAGGATATTAGGGAACTAACTTGTTATTCCTAAAACTAGAAAATAAAGGAAAATTGTACACTTATCCTAATTTTCCTATGTAAACTGTACTTACTGAGGTAAAGCTCTTTACTACAAAAAACAATTTCTCTTAATAAATGTAGTATGGTCAAATTAGAATTTCATCATTTTGCAACTTCTAAAGAAATAATGGAACTAGACAATAATCATTAATGGCTGCTAAAACTATTATCTGAAAAGTGATGGGAAAATTCAGGTTAACAATATTTAGACCCAAAAAGCAATTGCAACATGACACAGACAACCAGACAGTGGAAGCCTCTTAATGTAAAATAAGGGGAAGCAAATAATACCTATGAATTCTTTCTACCCATTGGAAAAAAATGTTTTTTAATCTGAATAACCTGTAGATTTAACTACCAGTTCAGGGGCACCTGGGTGGCTCAGTGGCTTAAAGCCTCTGCCTTCAGCTCAGGTCATGATCCCAGAGTCCTAGGATCAAGCCCCACATTGGCCTCTCTCCTCAGCGGGGAGCCTGCTTCCCCCCCTCCAACTTCTTCTCAACCTGCCTCTCCGCCTACTTGTGATTGCTGTCTGTCAAATAAATAAATAAAATCTTTCAAAAAATAAAAAAATAACTACCAGTTTATAATAAATAAGACAAAAAGACACAGAGGAATACAATTTATAAAATTCAGAATATGGGACAGTACAAAGCAGATAATCATTATTCTTAAATAAATCACAAGAAAAATATTATAGAAGAAACTATAGATCAAAAAACATCAACTGTAATGTGGAAACTTTGTTTAGAACTGATTTAAGCAAATCAAGTTTAAAATATATTTTAAAAAATTTGAGACAATTATATTTGATATTTAATGAGTCTTCCATATTACAGAATTATTATAAAAATTTTATTTGTACTAATGATAATATAATTTTATTCTTTTTAAGAGCCATTTTACATTTTAGATATATATTCATAATTCCAAAAAGTTTACCCTTAAATATTTATCAATAAAATAATATGGTGCCTGGTATTTACTTCACAAGAATCCAAAAAACTGGCAAGGCTATATATTTGTAATTGTTTATGCTAGATGATTAATATATGAGTGCTCCTTATACTAGTCTATTAAATACATGTTTGAAGACAAAAGTTTGGGTATTTCAAGTGAGTTACCAAAACTTTGTACTTCTGATCTCCTGTCTAATCCTTGCTATCATTAGAGACTAAAGACAACTACCCACAGAAAGAAGCATAGGGCAAAGCTTTAAAAAGCAGTAATGATGGGGTGCCTTGGAGGCTCAGTCAGAAAATCGAGCAACTCTTGATCTTGGGGTAATGAGTTTAAGCCCTACACTGGGTGTAGAGATTATTAAAAAATAAATAAACAAACTTAAAAAAATAAAAAATAAATAAATAGTAAAAATTTTAAAAAGCAGTAATGAAAGCACAATGCCAAGGAGTATACATAAATAACTTCACTGTGAGAAGAAAAAGCTTCCAATGTCTCAAATTCATTCAGGAAGCAATGGTCAGCCTTAGCCAATTCAACTTGCTGATTGCCAAGGTTGCAGTTTGTAAAGAAAAAAAGCCCTGGTCTAGGAGACTACCAACAGCTAGCTTTGCAAGCTCGGACTCACGTAACTTTAGGTTTTGGAATTTGAAAACACAATAAGTGAAATAACAGCATGAATGATCATTGCGTTGTGAGTACTAACTCTAAATTCTAAACTTCGTAAGAGCTTTAAACGCATTATCTTCTTTTAACCGCAAAACCCAAGGAGGTGTTGTGGGCACATAATATATACTTTTTAAAGGACGATTAAATGAAGGAGGCAACAATACATGGTACCATTTTGCACATAACGAGTTTAGGTTCAGAGGTGCACACTGTTTTAAGGTCACGCGTTGGCGTAAGCTGGTCCAGCCAATATTCCAGGTGGAAGAATGCTTTGAACATGCATGCCACTGCATCAGACCATACAACAGAGGAGGTTAGGGGACTGGGTGTGAAACACTGGAAAACTTAAAAACCTCTTCCACAGACCTACAGCTTTCCGTCGGCCGCACCACACTTCATAGGTCTCCGGAAGACGGGGAAAGAAAACCAGCCTTTCACTCACCCCCCAAGAAGCTGGACCTCACAAGCCTGGACCTCCCGCCGAGGCTCCCGAGCGCCTTCGTCCCCCCAGCCCCTCCCCTTCACGGATCGCGCACAATTGGTGACCGTGAAACTACATTACCCATAAAACCGTTCGAGAACAGCGAACCTCCGCCGGAAGTCCGGAAGGCTGAATCCGGCGCCGGGAAGAGTGAGAGTGGGGTTTTCCCGGTGTTGCGGCTCTATCCTGCATTCCTCTACTCTGGTCACCTTTGGGTTAGTAGCAGCAATGAGTAGTTAGTCGGCCCCGGTGCCCTCCTTGGGGTGGGTGACCAGTTCTCAGTACTTTTTGATCTCAGTGCTGTTGGCCTGGCCATGCTGGGTTGTTTGGCGCAGCCTCGGGATGCGGTGAGGGTGCAGGCGGGGGAGCTATGGGCTGGTAGCCCGGCTTCACAGAGAGGGCAGGGGATGCCGCCGGTAGGCTGCTGTGGCCTTTGCAGCCCAGTCTCTGAGGTGGGGAAAACGAAGTGCTGCTTCCACTGTATATTCCGGTTTAAAAGGAGTCTCACAGGAGTGACAAGAAAGTAAACTATCTCAAGGCATTTAAATGTTGGCAGAGACCTTGTGTAGGGCGCTTGACCTGTTAAATGGCCACCTTGAATGCTGAAGGCCGTGGAATTCGTTAAATCGTCATTGACTTCACTGACGGATCTGTATTTGAACTCTGCCCTGTCTCTTTAACCATGTGACCTTGAGCGAGTCCTGGGCCCTCGGTACTTATCTGTAAAAGTGGGTGTGGTTTGGTTAAACGGCCTCTCAGAATGGTCCATGTTCTTTTTGGAAAGCAAGGACGGCATTTGGCTAAGTGAATCACCTCATCCTGCCTTCAGATTCTTACCTTGCGGAAAACCTGTCGATGAGAAATGAAAAAATAAATCCAGCAGCTGGATTGCAGATTCTCTGTGATTCTCTGGAATGAGAAATGGTTGTTTCTAGATGGCTATGCTGCCACCAAAAAAAAAAAAAAAAGCTAAGGGAGAAAGTATACATTTTTCACTGCCTTTCTCCTGAGAATATTGTAGTCATAAGAAGTGCACTGGAGGTAGTGAATGGTACTTTATTTTTGGAGGACAGTTTTGCAGTCTGCCCTGTGGAGTGTCCTGTGGGGAGGGTGTAGAAATGACTATGACCTCAGAACATGAGACAGTAAAATATTGCTTAAAGTAAACCTAGCTAAAGAACCTGTGTGGTGTTTTTTGGAAAATCAATTTAGGGGAAAGGCAACTTGAAAGGGACACTATACATGAGTCAGTATACAGCAATGATTCCAAATGAAGTCCTGAAAAGTTGTAGCTTTTGTTACTGATAATATTTGTAAAGCATTTAGAAATCTCAGTATGAACAGAACAGCGAAGTAAATTCTACAGTAAAGAAATAGTTTTCTCATATAAAAGCCACTCCACTAATTTAAATTATAAACACATTTTCACCATTCCTATGAGTAGTTTTTTAAGCCTTTTATTTTAATCCCAGTATAGTTAACAGTGTTAAAATTAGTTTCAGGTGTACAATATTGTGATTCAGCAATTTTATATGCTGTTGCCTGCTCATCCTCAGTATACTCTAATCCCCATCACCTATTTCACCTGCCCCCCCACCTCCCCTTTGTGCAGTTAAATTTTACCTTTTTATAAGTAGCAGGAAGATAAAAACAGGAAAAGTAAATAATCTTTTCAGCCCATATTTCCTTAAATTTTGTTCATACTCCCTCAACTATAAAACTGATCAACCAAATTGCAGTGTGGGAACGCTAGAGACAACAGCACTCAAAATGTATGGACTATAACCTTTTCTTTTTAGCCTGAATATCTTATTGCTTAGAATGATAGAAACTAGTTAGAGTCCTAATCAATTCTTAAATAGCATTTCACTAAACAAAAATTCATACCTTACAAAAAATATTTTGTTCTCATAGAGAACTTAAGCTTGAACCATTTCCACGAAGAATAGCTCAGTTTGTGCCCTACCACTTTCAATCCACATTGAGATGAAATTTATTAAGAGGTATGAAACATTTTCTATATTTTTTCTTACTGAAAGCAAATAACAATGCAAAGTTAATGGTTTAAAAAGCTTCTTTAATTCAGATTTTGACAAAGTGACCAAATGAACAGGGTTCAATAATTGATCCAAAATATATTGTTATCTGATTTATGACAAAGATGATAACTGCAGTGCAATGGGACAAATGGTAATTTCAAGAGTGGTGCCAAGTCATATGGATTATCCACTGGGATAAAAATGTATCTAGCCCCTACTTCACACTATGAACAAAGATCAATCCCAGATGGATTGTAGAATTAGTTGTGCACGGGAAAGCAATAAATTGTTTTTATGTGAAACTTAACACAAGTTTTGAATAATCAGCTATAGGATAATAATTTTCCTAAGGGAAGGCACCTGTTTCTGGTACTATAGAATCTAAGAGAATACTAGTCATCATCTGCTAAAAAACCTGTGACTCGACTTCTGCTTTAACTCCCCTCATTCCTCTGGATCCATATTGAAATCCCTCCGGAATACTTCAGAGTCCTCCTCTTTATAATGTTTGTTACCTGACACTCCTTCTCAAGGATATGCCCCCTTATCTTTATTACCAAAGTTCTTTATACGTTGTTATACATCCCATGATGAATTATATTTAAAATTAAAATTATATTTAAGACAATTTTGAAATGTATGCTGTGATGACAATTGAGTACTAATTATCTTTTGAAGAGTATGTAGCTTTAAAAACCATAACTGTCCTAATTACATCCACCATTGAACAAATAGCAATTGAAAATGAAGTGTTTTTTTTTCTATTTTCCTCTTTTTAAGGAAGAAATGTCTTCTATAAAAAGAAGCCCAAAGGAAGAAATAATTTCCCAGTTTCACTATTCAGCAGCAGAAGGAGATATTGCCATGTTAACAGTAATCCTCAGTCATTCTCCATCTCTTCTCAATGAAACGTCTGAAAATGGCTGGACTGCTTTAATGTATGCTGCAAGAAATGGGCACCCAGATGTTGTCCAATTTCTACTTGAGAAAGGGTAAACATTTTAGGGACTACTACCTGAAGGGCTCTGGTTTAATTTCTGGGTTATATACGTCCTTTTATATTTTTCTTGTAGCCATATTTATACCATTGGGCTTGTAAATAACTCACTGACCAGTTTTATTATATAAAAACACAGCATAGTATCTAACTAAAAGCTTTTAACTTCATTTGTTGAGAGAGAAATCCTTCATACTTAATATCAAATCAAATTTATGAGTTAGTCTAATCCTCTACTCCCCAATAGAAAATGTAGATCTACCCACTATGACTATGAAGAACCCCTCATAAAATTTTAATGTCTTCTTATAACATATAAAACTTACTGTTTTTATTTTATAATTCCCCAGAAATACTAAATATCTACTATCTCTAACTTTTCATCATTTATTATTTCTTTTAACCTTCCCATTAGTAAATTATGTCCTAAGAGAAAAAAATCGACATAATAATCATTAGTGGGACTATCATGTGCATCTGGAAACATTTTATTGTAATAAATATTAAAGAAAATGTTTATTTCCTATTTTATTTTTCTTTCCATCTGTAGGTGTGACAGATCCATTGTCAATAAATCAAGGCAGACTGCACTGGATATTGCTAAATTTTGGGGTTATAAGCATATAGCTAATTTACTAGCTAATGCTAAAGGTGGGATGAAGCCTTGGTTCCTAACTAATGAAGTGGAAGATTGTGAAAATTATTTTAGCAGAACACTATTAGACCGAAAAAGTGAAAAAAGAAATAATTCTGACTGGCTACTAGCTAAAGAAAGCCATCCAGCCACAGTTTATATCCTTTTCTCAGACTTAAATCCCTTGGTTACTCTAGGTGGCAATAAAGAAAGTTTCCAACAGCCAGAAGTCAGGCTTTGTCAGCTGAACTACACAGATATAAAATATTATTTGGGTCAGCGTGAAAAGATCACCTTGATTTTTCTTGGAGTAGAACTTGAAATGAAAAAAGAATCATTTAATTATGCTGGAGAAGTCCCAAGAGAAGAAGAAGATGGGTTGGTTGCCTGGTTTGCTCTAGGTATAGATCCTGTTGCTGCCGAAGAATTTAAGCAAAGACATGAAAATTGTTATTTTCTTCATCCTCCAATGCCAGCTCTTCTGCAATTGAAAGAAAAAGAAGCTGGTAAGAAGTGTATATGGTTTACCTATTGGTAATAATTACTTGTTGGTAATAATCTGGGTTTTGGAACTGGGTTGGAGTTATCTTCATTTTCTAGGAGGCGTGCTTTTTTCAGTAAGCAATGAAATTAGGCTATCTTCATTAGAACTTTCCTAAATTTCTCATTCTAGGGAACTACTCTCCTGAGCAGTTACAGCAGTTTTAATCAGCCAAAATTACTTTCCCAAAAATTAATCCTAATGCATGCTAGTGTTATTTGATTCTTCAGTGAATAATTATTGAGCACTTGCTATACACTAAGCATGATGGCAAAGACTTTGATTATTTTGTTTTCTGTTGCTGGGTATGCTAGTTCATGTGGGGCCTTATATGCCATGGTTTTATTCCAAATTCCATTTAAATGTTGTAACCTGACCTATGGTTTAAAAAAAACAAAAACAAAAACCCTCACTCTGCCTGCTTTGTAGCTCATGATTTGTAGGTAATTAAGTGTGAAGTCAGAAGTCTTGTTAAGAGGGGAGTGGCGATTATAGTAGTTTAAGTAAGAGGTTGCAGTGGATTGGTTTGATGGAGCGAAAGGGAGAGTTTGAGATGTTCTGGAGGTAAAACTGATCAGGCTTGATCAGTCAGTAGAGGCTATTACAAGTGAGAGAGAGATGATACCCTGGACCACAGCCTGAATTAAGGTCATAATGGTATAGATAAAGAAAGGGGGTTATGTTCAAGGTATATTTTAGAGAGAAAATTATCGGCATTTGCTGATGGATTGGGTATGGGGTATATAATGATGAAAGAAAAGATCAAGAATGATGGCTAGGTCTGAGACTTTAGTAATTTGATGTGTAGTGATACTATTTCTTGATTAATATAGGGTGACAGGTTGAGCAAGTGAAGCAGGACAGTCTTAAAGTAAATAAATCAAGATTTTAGTTTTGGGCATATTCAGTTTTAGAGAAGGATATTGGAATCTGGAACACAGAGGTGAGGTATGAAGTGGACATACCCATGTGGGAGTCATCAACATAAAGGTGATATTTAGATCTCAGGAAACTGAGATGGGGAGTTGAGAACAAGCAAGAAAGAAAGCCTCAGAATCATACCTGATTCCCCCTAAATTTTGAGGTCAGGTAGAAAGAGAGGAGCCATCAAAGGTATTATTGACAGTGTGGCCGTAAGGTACGAGGAAAACAGGAGAATGTGCTCCTGGAAATCAAGAGAGCAGAGTATTTCAAGGAGGAAGTGGTCAAATATATTGAATGCTATAAGATAGACCAAAAAAAAAAATATATATATATATATACAATAACATATATAACATAAATATATATATATATTTCAATAACAATATTGAAATAATGTATATTTATATATATATATTGATGAATTTGACAAGAGGTATATCGGTGAAGTGGAAAGAATATAAGCTAAATAAAGGTAGACTGAAAAGTTAGTGGGAGGTAAGGAAGGGGTCACTTGTCAATGTCCACCTTCCCTTAGGAGATGTGTGGTGGGTCCTTTCAGAGACCGCTTAGATTATCTCATCCCAAAGTCTGGATTGGTATGTTTTAGTCTCCACATCTATGGAGAAAACATTGCACTTTTTAAAGAAAATATCTTTTCTCAGGGCACTTGGGTGCTCAGTCATTAAGTGGCTGCCTTCAGCTCAGGTCATGATCCCAGAGTCCTGGGATCAAGCCCCTGCATCAGGCTCCCTGCTCAGTGGGGAATCTGCTTCTCCCTCTGCCCCTCCTCACCACTCGTGCTCTCATTCTCTCTCAAAAATAAATATTTTTTAAAAAAGAAAATACCTTTTCTTTGTAGCTATGTAATTTTAAGATCAAAAGGGTCTCTCTCTTCCTCTCTGTCTTTTTACTAGCAAGAAAACTGAGGCCCTTTTATTCACTTGCTGTGTAAACTTCCACAGTTAACCTCTTTGTGCCTCAGTTTCCTCCTCTAGAAAAAGAGGATAATAATACCTACATCATAGGATTGATCTAAACATTAAATAAAATGAGGTAACCTGTTGAGCTATGTAAGTATTTTTATTCATTTCACATAAAATATATTTGTATTATTTGTCATTCATATTATCCATCCATACCCCACTATCCTCTGTATCAGATGGGCCAATAGAAATAGAACTGTTTTGTTCTAAATAAATAAATGATACATATGAAGATCTTTCTATGATGCTTCACACATAGTTGGTACTAAATAAATATTAGCATTTCTTATTGAAACAATATTGAAATAATGTAAGTAGCACAAATTACATATTACAAGGTGACATAGTAAGGAAATATTTACAGTTGCCTACAGTTCGTTGAATTTCAGTATTAATTTGTTTTTGTGCATGGTTTATTTTGTTTTTCCCAGTTTAAAACATTGTTATTGTTGTTTATGGTCATTTTGCTTTTTTTTTCAAAAATCCTTAACCCAAATAATGTGTTTTAGTGAGAGCAAGTGTCAGGCAAATGCAAATGTAACATTTCTACTTTTATTGTTTCAATTATAACATTTCTGATCAGGCCATATTCTTTTTTGAAGTACCAGGGTAAAGGCTATAGCCAAAGTATATATATTTTTATATACGTATATCTAAGATTTATTCTAGTAGGCATTTTTTTCATGAACAAAGTTAACCATGAATGTTATAAATGAAGTATTTTTTTTTTTAATATTCTGTGCAATTTCCAGTTGTAAACAGGATGTGTTTCATGGTGACATGGACCAGTACTAGTTTAGGGACCCAGGAAAGGAGAACTCTAGTAGTTTCTCATTAATATGTTCTTTATAGTCCAAGTCTAAATTAGGAAGTGTCTACATAGTGTATTTTTATAAGAGTCACTATTATAAAGTCAATATTTTTAAGATCACTAGAATACACTAGAATCTTGTGTATCTAAAATTTAAAAATCACCAATTGTAAAAGCCTGACCTAATATAGTATATAAGATAGTGCTAACATCTATCTTATATGAGAGTTATATCTTATTAGTTCAAATTAAAGTTAAATCAGATTTTCATCTGTCATCTATTGGATTAAATATTTTACTTCAAAAGAAATATACATCATAAAAATAAAAATATGAAAATTCTTGATCACTTAGCTATTCATATGCCTTGACTTACGAACATTTTACTTCTTATTAATTTGTTTACAGTTTATCACAGAAATAAAACTTTTTTATGCTTCTCTTAAAGGGGTTGTAGCCCAAGCAAGATCTGTTCTTGCCTGGCACAGTCGATATAAGTTCTGCCCAACCTGTGGAAGTGCAACTAAAATTGAAGAAGGTGGCTACAAAAGAGTCTGCTTAAAAGAAGACTGCCCTAGCCTCCATGGTGTTCACAATACATCATATCCAAGAGTTGGTAAGTCTTTTCTTTTACAGTGAAATTTCAGATATCTGGAATCTTAGGGAATAAGACATTCTGGGAGGACAAGATTTTGAGTTGTTAAGGGGTTCACCTTTTTATTAAAACCACATTTAATATAACTTGAGACTATAAGTATTAAAGTATTAAATAGTTTCATGGCTTTTAAGTAAGGGACATTGTACATAATTAGCCTTTTTTTTCTTTTAAGATTTTGTATATTTGTCAGAGAGAGAGCACAAGCAGGGAGAGTGGCAAAACATAGGGAGAAGCAAGCTCCCTGCTGAGGAAGGAGCCTGATGCAGGGCTTGATCCCAGGACCCTAGGATCATGACCTGAGCCAAAGGCAGAAACTTAACCTTACTGAGCCACCCAGGCATCCCTAATTAGCCATTTCTTAACTCTGAGTTAATCAAAATGAATTTGATATATTAAAATACATGATTTCAAAAGTCTACCAATCTGGATCTGCTTAGTACAGAGACCAAAAAGAATAAAATAAAATAAATAAAAATAAAAAACAACAATTCAGTGCCTGTTCAGGACATCACCAAAGCAGTACAGCCTGGAGCTATCTTTTCATCACTGGTGTTGCCTACCTATACCTTCTCTCCTCCTAATTGCTGCTTTGGAGCCTTCTGTAGGTTTGGAAATCTGGGAACCTCGTCCTTTAAAACTTGTGAAAAAATAATAATAATAAACTGATCAATACCTGAGGAAGTCTCCTGAGAGTAAAATGCATGACTTTGTGACACCTGGTTTCACTGCTCAGGAGCCTTTTACGTTTGATTCCTGTTTTCAGTCATGATCTATCAAGGAGAATTCACTGCATTAATGACTTCTGGGAAATAAACTCTAAGTTAAATTTTATATTTTTAATGGCTTAAACTTAGTCATAGAGCCACTTTAGCTTTTAAAAACATTTGTTCAAGATTGGGATGGAAGGGAGAGGAAAATTCGCATTACTATGGTAAAATTTGTATTTTCTTCATGCCATATAATACCTACTCTTGGAATGTCTGGGTAGCCCACTCATTAGGCGTCTGCCTTCAGCTCAGTTATGATCCTGCAGTCCTGGGATTGAGTCCTGCGCAGGGCTTAGGAAACCTGTTTCTCCCTCTGCCTGCTGCTCCCCCTCCTTGTGCTCTCTCTCTCTTTCAAATAAATAAATTCTTTTAAAAAAGTGCCTACTCTAACATTTTTATAATTAAAATATATGCCTAGCATACAGTAAGTACATAATACATGTTGCTATTAAGAAGAAGACAAAATTGATCTTTCTTTACATGTAATATTCTTTGCAGTTTCCCTGAAATATTCTTTCATGAGGCAGAAAGAAACAATCTCATAATTAGAAAAGAGTCTTGTTCTTATAAGGGCTATACCTTTTTATTATACTATTTGACAGTGACTTTACACAGTGAGTCTAAATTATTTTTCCTATCATTCACTCATCTGATTTTTTTTTTAAAACAGATCCAGTAGTAATCATGCAAGTTATTCATCCAGATGGGACCAAATGTCTTTTAGGCAGGCAGAAAAGATTTCCCCCAGGAATGTTTACTTGCCTTGCTGGATTTATTGAACCTGGTAAGCCTTTACTTAATAATTTTAATAATAATCTTCCTTTAACTTAAAATTTCCAAATAAAAATTTTAGGGGGCATTTGACAAATTATCATGCTATGAAATTGGGTATTTTTAAATATTTTCTGTGTATTTTGAGTGCTGTAATATTTGTTTTTACTAGAATAATTGTGTCCGTTTTAAGAATTCAACATTTCGTCTTTCATATTATTGCTATTACCAAAGTATCTGCATGACTTATACCTCACTCCCTTCTTTACTAGACCCAACTATGTCACCTTATCAAAGAGGCCTTCCCAAATAGCCCCAGATACATTAGTTAGCATCGTACTCTGCATTCACAATTCTGTCATCCTGCCTGACTTTTCCCAATAGCGCTCGTTACCACCCGACATGGTATGTATGTATGTATGTATTTATGTATGTATGATTGTATTTATGTATATGAGATTGTATCTCTGTATTTATTATATGATGTATCTATTTATCTATCTACTCTTTTTTCTTATCTTCTCATACCAGAATGTAAGTTGCGTAAGGGCTGGGACTTTATTTCATTCATCATTATAGCCCACACCCTTAGAGCACTGCCTTATATGTAGTAGGAGCTCAATATGTATCTGTGGAATAAATGCTAATTAATATATATGTTTAATATTAACTTCCAGTATTAATCTGCACTGATAATAATAGTAGTAAACATACTTTGTGCACACTCTCTTTTGAAGGCTTCCCAGATATTGAATCATATAATCCTCATACAGCCTTATAAAGTAGGTACTTACTACAGTCGTTTTACAGATAGGGCACTGTGGTACAGGGGCTGAATCACTTGCCCAAGATCAAACAGCTGATCAGTGATAGGGCAGGAATACGAACCTGAGCAATTTGGCACAGTCCATGCTCTTAATCACTATGCTGTCTCTAATAACTCTAGGCCCTTTTTTTTTTTTTAACTGCTCTGTACCATTTTATTTATAAATACTCTTCAATTCACCCATCTGCTGTCGGACAGTTAGTTTATATCTGTTTTTGCTATCGCAAACAACACTGCAAGGAATATTCTTACACTGCTCCTTGTGCACATTTGCAAGAGTGATCAAGGGTATATACTTGAGAGTAGAATTGTTGGCTCATAGGATATGAACATCCTAACCTTTCATAGACATTGCCAAGTTGCTCTCTGAAGTGTTCCTACCAATTTATAGTCTAAAAGCACATGAAATGTTCTATTATTCCACATCATCACCAAGTTAGGATTTTCATACTTTATAATGTCCTAATCTGATAGGTATGAAATAGTCTCATTGTAGTTTTCATTTCCCTGCTGATGGAGCATCTTTTTCAAATGTGTTTTAGGCATCTGATTTTCATTTTCTCTGAATTTTACATGTTTATATTCTTTGCCTAATTTTGTTTTGGTTGTTTATCCTTCTTTTCTCATTTCAGGTGTTTTGTAGTATGTATTCTTTAGCTATGGTCTAGCAGATATCTTAACGCTAGTCTATGACTTACCTTTCCACAATATTTTTTTGGTGAACATGAGTTGATTTTAATATGGAAATATAGCATCTATTTGAAATAAAAAGTTACATTTAAATAGCAAAATATTTCTAAACTTTCAGATAAACTTAGAAACAATTCTCTTTATTCTATTTCTCAATTCTAACAAATCAGAATTAAAAAGCACATTTTGGGGCACCTGGGTCACTCAGAGGGTTAAGCCTCTGCCTTTGGCTCAGGTCATGGTCTCAGGGTCCTGGGCTCGAGCCCCACATCGGGCTCTCTGCTTGGCAGGGAGCCTGCTTCCCCCTCTCTCTCTGCCTGCCTCTCCACCTACTTGTGATCTTTCTCTCTGTGTCATATAAACATATAAATATCATATTTATATGACTTACATGATATTTATATGTTTATATATATTATATATATTTGTATATTATATGTCATAAATAAAAATATATATATTTATATATCTATAAATAAAAATAAAAATATTTTTTAAAAGTACATTTCTAGGCATTATTTTATCATAACTGAGTCAATAGTCATCTAGAAGAAAAAAAATCATTTAGAAAGAAAAAATACTGTTTCTTATATGGTTTTTAAACTTTTAGTGTTAATGTAATTTTCAGCTCTTTTCAAGAAAGTTATCTGCAGTAATTTTTTAACAACATAAAACAATTTCAAAATTTTAGTAAGGAAAAAGCCATTTATAAACATCTTAGAATGATAATTTATAACTATTTAGTGATAATATGTAAATGAGATGATATATAAAATATTTGCATAGTGTTCAGCTAATAGCAGGTGCTGGATAGTTGTAGATGTTACCATTTTTACACTGTAACCAAAAAATCTGGACCTTCAAGAAAAATTTGGGGCATTTTGATTATGTATGTGGTCATATACTTTAAGAAATAATTTTTTTTTAAATTTCCAGTCTAGTTTTAGGCTTCTGCTTTCTCATGCTTTGAATTGGGTTTCTGTCCAAAGTGATTTCTAAATGTTTGAACCATTCGGAGCACAAAAATGTCCAAGGCATGTTCATCAGCTACTTGTTCTATTGCCCCATTTGATTAGGAGAAACAATAGAAGATGCTGTTCGGAGAGAAGTAGAAGAGGAAAGTGGAATCAAAGTTGGCCATGTTCAGTATGTCTCTTGTCAGCCATGGCCAATGCCCTCCTCCTTAATGATTGGTTGCTTAGCTGTGGCAGTGTCTACAGAAATTAAAGTTGACAAGAATGAAATAGAGGATGCCCGCTGGTTCACTAGAGAACAGGTAAAGTTCAATTTAATTTCCTCCTTCTATTGATTGTGCTCTGACTGTATCAGTTTGGGCATGCAGCAAGGATACATGTTTTCACCAAGTTGAATGAATGGTATGGCCCACCCATCATGCATGGATTACAATGTAATTGATATGTCCTATATCAACTCATTCTGTGAGGTTCTTTTAGTTAATGATTCTGTGCCATTTTCTAATTTCAAGTGCCATTCCTTCAGATTAATGATGCTTTTCAATGGACTTAAAATAGGTAAACATTATGAGAAATATGAGAAACAGGAAGATTATTCTGAGATATTTTGTATTTTAGTTTACAGCATTAAAACAAGTAGTTCTCAAAAAATATCAGTAAAAATGCTTAAAATTTTTGAAAAGTTCTTGTTCTTTTTAAAATGTGCTTAAGGACACAAATAACAAAACTATATACCAAAGATATATTCACAAAAACTTTTTAAAACATCTTCCTTCAGTAGTATAATGAAAGATAAATTACTTGTCTGTGTTTTGCTTAACCCAAAGTATTTGTAGAGAAAACAAATGGATGCACTATTAGTAATGAAGAGTGAAATCATTCCTGCTTTGCCTAAACAAAATTTATTTTATGTTCAACTTCACAAAGGACAAATTAAATGTTTTTTGGAATTTTATAAAAGGGAACCTGTTGGAAAGTTGATTTCACTTTGAAAATAAGTGTGGAGCATGTACTTTTCTTTTTCATATCCTTATTTTCATAAGGGAATATGCTCTTCTGGAATATTTTTGCAAATTGATTCATTAACTCATTGAATCAACTAAAAGTACTGTACTAAATTTTGCATGTTGAAGATGGATGTTGTCACTTTGTACTGTTGTTACTGTAAAATAATCACATTTTAGTTAAATTGCATAAGCACAGAAGTAGTACTTAAGTATGACAGTGTTGAAATCCTAATACATTTTATTATGGTGTATTTTAGGTTGTGGATGTTCTGACCAAAGGGAAGCAGCAGGCATTCTTTGTGCCTCCAAGCCGAGCTATTGCCCATCAGTTAATCAAACACTGGATTGGAATGAACCCCAATCTCTAAATCAAATAACTAGATTTTGAGTATTAATTGATTTCTAATAACTTATTCCTCAAGTGAGATTAGAAATATTTAGTGCTCTTTGGAATGTCACAACACAGTATTGGGTTTCCGAAATATTTTCAACACATACTTTTCCATCTTAACCATAGAATCTGTGTTTTTGTAAGTTACAACACTGCTTCAGATTTTGTTAAATCCAAGTCAGCCTCTCCAAATATTTTTTTGGTTGTGCTCCACAACTGAAATACGGTTTTGTGGAGCAAAACCATATTTCTGTTACGAAAAATCATGTTATAAAGATGGATACTCTAAAATGTAAACAAACCTAAATTCCAGTGCCTCTTTTTTTTTTTTTTTTTTTTTTAAAAGATTTTATTTATTTATTTCACAGAGGTCACAAGTAGGCAGAGAGGCAGGCAGAGAGAGAGAGAGAGAGAGTGAGGAGGAAGCAGGCTCCCTGCAGAGCAGAGAACCCGATGTGGGGCTCGATCCCAGGACCCTGGGATCATGACCTGAGCCGAAGGCAGAGGCTTTAACCCACTGAGCCACCCAGGTGCCCCTCCAGTGCCTCTTTAAAGCATTAGACCGCTCACTAAAGTTCTATTCTTGAGATTATAATAAATAATTTTAATGAATTTTAAGCTTCATTTCCAGTCACTGTATTACCATAAAGGTTCTTTCAGCCGTTAGTAGCTGATTTTTGTTCACTTCCCATTGTATTCCACTTTTTTTCCTGGTTTCACTGTTCTAGCAGTGGTGCTGTTATAGTGCTACCATGTGTCTGTTTTGATCAGTGTTAAGAATTTTCTACTTTAACAACTCTGCTAGTGATCAGAATACCATGCCTTCGGGACACCTGGGTGGCTCAGTTGGTTAAGCTGCTGCCTTCGGCTAGGTCATGATCCCAGTGTCCTGGGATCAAGTCCCACATCGGGCTCCTTGCTCAGCGGGAGCCTGCTTCTCCCTCTGCCTCTGCCTGCCACTCTGTCTGCCTATGCTCACTCTGACAAATAAATAAAATAAAATCTTTAAAAAAAAAAAAAATACCATGCCTTCGTGAAAGGAGAGTTTAAGTGAGAGCATACCATTATGTATGGGACCTTCCCCTTAAACCTAAAATCAATTAATGTGTATAGTTATCTGTTACACTCAAAGTTGTTTTTAAGACCAATCAAAATTCTCTGCTTTCTCACTGAAATCAAGTGTATTTGAAGAATTCTCCTCAAAGATCAGATGTTTAATATTTCCCAGATAGGTTTACATATTTAATAAAAACACTGGCTTTATGTCATTTTGTGATAAGGGATTTATCTGTATTAGCAAAAATTATGTAATTATTACTAATTGTATTTACTAAACTCAAATGCAACATTTTGATTTTGACTTTATTTCAACACATTCTAAGAAGCCTTTATAAAATAAGTATATCTTAGAACTGAATCAGCAAGATTCAGAGAAAAGTAAATTGTAGTAATTCGCAATTTCACAACATCGAACTGTCATATTTTATAAGGCTATTTTGAAATTGTTTTAAAAGCTAGTCTATAAATGTATAAGTTTACATAATTTGGCTCTTTAATATTTTATGTTAGAACTGGAAGAGACCATAAGGATAATATATGTAGATCAGTGACCTTTTATAGATAAAAAGAAATCCTGAAAGGTGAATTTAATTAATTTAACCCATTAAAATTGAATCAATTAATTAATCGATGAAAGTTACACAATTACAACTTACCATTGTTCATACAATTAATTGTAATTATAGTTAAATAGCTTAATTTTAACAATCTGTCCTATATAGCCTAGTGCAAGACTCTTCCTCTAATAGGAAGTAGAAACTACTATTTAAATTATGGGTAAAGTTAAGAAATTAAACAAGAAGGAATGATAAGATGAAATTAGTAATAAATAAGGAATAAAAAGAAAAAATTTAATTTACCAATATTGTTAATTAAAATTTTAGAAACTAAAATCATTTAACTTAAATATAATTTTCTTAGATTAAGAACTTTACTAATGAACAATGATTTTCTTAGTAACAGATGAAAGTTTATTGGGATCAGGACTTTGGACAAAATTGACTTACATTGGACATTAAGATACATAATAAAATTTGAACTACATAGAAAACTATGTGCCTTGATTCTAATGAAGTGGGATAACTTAAGGTTCAGTTTTACTCCAAATTTACTTAGAGATTCTAAGATTACATCATAACGTTCCAGGTTTCCGTGTTCAGGTAGCAAAGTAAAATATAAAATATCAACAAAATGTAGTTATAAATTTAGTTTTGGTTATTTAATCCTATACTCAGGGAAAATCAATAAGTAAATTATTGTTATTAATAATCATTCTTAACATGGCTAACCTCTGAGGTAAATAACTGCATGTAAGTAAAAGGAATAGCAAAGAAATTTTAGAAGTTCAAGTGCCATGAATGTATTCTAATGGAAATGAAGGTAACAATATATTAAAATATTTATCCATTTATTCTGTTTTGTGTGTTATGTATTTTTTAATATGTTTTGATAAATGTCTTCTGAAAAATGAAAAAAGCCAAATTTTAGTCATCCTCCCTTGTTTAGTGATGTGTAAACAAAAAGTATATAAGCCCTTTTAAAAGTGGTCCTATCTAGAAAAATTTTTAAGTCATATGTGTATATATACACACATACAAACTTACATGTAGACATTTGTATACACAGTCAATAATTTTTCATCATCAGATTTGAAGTTATATGACTAATGTCTATTTTTATTAATTGTCTCAAATTACCAATCTTTGCATTTTGAATTTTCCACTGTTTACTGTTCATGGAAGGGCTAAAAGAATTAGAAGCACACATATTTAGTTGGAAAAATTACTAAGTAACTCTTTCAGAGATCAGGTTAGAGATTTGGATGAAGACAAAAGAATGGAACAAAAAAGGTGAGACCGTGAGGTGGAAGGAGAGAGTATGTTTGTTAATAAGCCAAATAAACCTAATTAAATCTCATATAAAAGTAGACAGCTGGTTCTAGAACTGTGTTGCTAATGTGTATATAGCAAAATAATAGGTGAAAATGTTCTGTAAAACAAATCCATTAATTATTGATTAACACAACACAAATTTTATTAAAGATGAGAACCAACTATTAGGTTCTGAATATATACATACATATATATAGATGTATATATATGTGTATGTATGTACAAACATATATACATATATATGCATGTGTGTGTGTGTGTGTATTCAAGCAAGGGAGGAGTAATGGCTGTTGAAACTTATGTATGTGTTGTGGCAAAAGGCACAGTTTTTTCTAGTAGAAAAATATCTAGGACAAAGTAATCCAGAAGTGCAAAATCAGAAGTATCTGTCTATACATGTAAAAGAGCTAGGTCTTGAGGCAAACCAGAAGTCTTTGCAGCAAATGGGTTGAAAAAGAGGGCAAGAGAGTTTGACTTCAGTGCTGGTGGAGGGTGCTCGCTCAATCAGGGGTTCACATCCTAGGGAGCTTTGACATAGAGGCAGATGAAAGGTAGGGGCAGATGTAATACACAGAGGGTATATTTCAAGGAGAGAAGGATAATGTCACCAGATCCTGCATCTTCAAAAAGCCTTACCAGTCAGAAGAAAAATGGAAAGGAGTTTCTTTGTGAAAATAAACTCAATGCTGAAAATGATTTTTCCCCCTACACTATGCCTTATCCTTTTTCTTCCCAGGACACTCAGGTAGAATTCAGAACAGCTTCTGTAAGAGCAAGCACAGTTTATTATCATCTACAATAGATTTTCAAATGGTTCATTTTATTTGCCCAAAGTAGAATTGTCAAAAGGGAAGTTATTCAAGTAATAAAGATGGCATAGGAAAAATGGGTAATCAGAAGCCTGAGTTCTTTTATTGTTTAGGAAACATTTTTTCAACTATAAAAAGAACATTTGGTTATGTTAATTGGGCTAACAGGCAAACTCCTCATCCTGTTTTTACTGAAGGATATCTACATATAATTGTACTTACTGGTGGAAATAGCACTTTCAACTTTTCTCTATTCTTTCAATACTATGTTTCTCTTTTATTGCTACGCATACAACACATTGTCCAGCATTGGACAATGGGTATTTCTTTTCACAATTCCCATTGTAATGATGCTGTACAGAATAGTCGGGGCAGCTGTGAAGTTTTAAAACTGATTTTAAGTTTAAAAAGACTTTCTGCTAATGGAAACTTTTTTCTTTCTAACTAGAAGTCTATAAGAGACAGACAAAATACAGTATAAGGAGCAAAAAATATATATCCGGGCTTTCCAGTCTTAGGCTCATGGAAACTCTACCAGACCAACTGATGGATTAAGAACATTCTAACCACTTAACTTGTGAGGTGGTTTCATTTTTAGTGATGAAAAAGTTCCACCCAGAAGCAGAAATTGAAAATAGTACTTGTATCTATTTTAGAACAGCCAGTGTAAATGGACAGATGATGTTGTCTGAAGTGTTTGTTTGCTTTTTTTTTTTTTTTTTTTGGTTTTGGTTTGGTTTTTTTACTTTTCATCCTGTCCATTTTACTGTACCCTGAAATTGTAGTCTATTGGAGCAGTGTGATGTTAGAGTACCTTATAAATATTTATACTGCTTTCAGGTAGCAGTGAGCTGAAGTTATCTCTATCAGTGGAGCTAAAAACGATTTAAAATGCCATTTATCCAATGGCTTTGCTGCTAAGAGTTATTTTGCTGGATTTACTTGTGTTTTTGAAACAAGTTTGAGTACTCTAATGCCAGTTTGGAGGATTTGGAACTCCAAATAACATGCACAAATTCATGCATGCACAAATCTCAGAGGCTGCCTTGGTCCTGACCATAATCTGCTCTGCATTGTAGTGAGCTCTTTACTGGGAATGTAGCCCTGAGTGGTAAGCCAGTAGGAACTCTGTGTGTCCTGGGAGGCCCTGTCAAGGATGAAAAGAAAATAGGCACGTGTCAGTGTGGACCTCAAAGTTTCATTGCTGTACAGATGTCTAATTATAATTAGTTCAGAAAAATATTCTCATTTTACACATATTACTGGGTTTGTCATACTGATCTGTTTCTTTAGTTTCCAGCAATTTCATACATCCTCATGAAAATAAGCATTATTCATTTTATTATGATGATAAATTGTAATATTCTATATGATAATAAATCCTAGTATTCTTTAATGATTTATCATCATTCTATTAAGATGATCACATAGAATGTGTTGTTTGGTTTTTATACCATGAAGAGGGTATGTATATTTTTCTTGTTCAGTATATCTAACATTAACACGAATAAGTTGTAAGTTTAATTCAAATCCAGATTTCTGAACTTTGTGAAAAG